CCTATCAGTTTTCAGATTGCAATGTTTATTATTTAACGTAACATTTACAAATTTTTCCAGCATCCGTGAAATCGATCCTATCCCAGGTCACATAAATTAAGAGAATAAAACAATAAAACACAAAAGTCTTTGTATCGGAATTGAAAACTCGAAATCGAAATTAAAATACTACCAATGATAATTAAAGAGAAATCACATTACCGAAAATCGAAAACATATTTTACTACTTGCCTACAAGTATTTGTACACAAGCCTACAAAGTAATAATGAACGTGACCAAATAATTTAATATTGTGGAAGATTTTTCCCTTAAACACATATTTAATATACACAAACTTGGGCGGATGTGTCCAAATAAAATGTAACAGAAAGTTAAGCGGAGAAGCTGCACGTTCGAGGGAGTGGGCACATATTTCAATAAGCCGAAATAAAGAATATACATACCGATCAAGAGATAACATACATTTATCGTTGCTTCTTCATTTTGGTTTATATAAGCACTTTATTCGAAGTTGTACGAGTATAAAAATGCAGTGTCTAGAATACATTAGGGTATGTTTAACAGTTTTAAAGTATATTAGATTAGCATAGTGATCGACAGTCGACCGGCGGATAAACTACATAAGCATTATTCGGAATACACAGGCGCAGACCAACTCCGATTTTAGAGTGCCAGTCCCAAAATCTGTTCCTGTTTGTAAACGCCATGGTACGCATTGCGTATGAGTACGTAGGGAAAGCAGGACTCCAGCAGATCCATTGTGAGGAAGGGCGATTGCTTGACGATTTCGTCGAGCAGCAAATAGATGGACTCCCGGTTTCGAGTAGCCTCTTTGTCGGACTCCTGGCCCAAGCGGAGCAGGGAAGAACTGGCCAGAGCAAGGAACTCCTTCATGCGGTCTTCCATGTCGCTCTGCCCGCAGATGGTGAACAAGGCTCCGAAGATGTTGTTGATTGCCGCCGCCATGCAGTGCGTGTTGTTCGAGTGGCCATCGATGGTGGCCCTGTAGAAGGAATTTTCGTTCCTGGCCAGTTTTGGTATAGACACGGCCACAAAGACCATCAGCAGACAGGCAGTAAGATGCTCACCTTCATCGAACTCTGGTTTCTTTGATTTTAGCGTAGTGGCCAGAGTGGGATCCACCTTGCAGAGCAGTCCGGCTGCTGAGGCCATCTCGGAGGCAACCCGAATCTGGTCTCCTCCGGGCAAATGTTCCTGGAAGTCCTTTACAGAACTAAGAAGGAAGGGTATGCGCTTGTCCAGAACATCAACAAGCGCCTCGTGCACCAGATTGCGGAAGCAAATTATCACTCCAATGATCGTCATGCGCTGCAGCACGCGGTCCACATCCTGTAACCGCTTGAATTGCTCCTTCATCACTTCAGGTTTGTCAAAGCTGGTGCGCAGTGTGATGAGAACCTCCTTGTTGGTGCCCACCAGCGACTTCAGCTCCTGCACCTGGTTGGCTATGTGCCACATAAGTGTTTCATTCAATGTTTTGATCCCATAGGGTCCCACAAGTTCTGCTAGTGCTCGCAGCTCGTTAAGATCGGAGAATTCCTGCGGGTTGAACGGAACCCATCCCTCGGGCGAGATGGGCACAAATGCCTTTTGGTTAATGGAGAATACAATGTTGCCAGCAGATACTCGTCTTAGCAGAACCTCACTGTACCAGGTGTTGTACAAAGCGGCGATAGTCTTCTCACCGTGAGAGTCCAAAGCTTGCGTTTGCTGCAGGAGACAGTTGTTAAAGACTCGTGTTATGTCAATGTGCACATAGTTCTCCACGGTTTGCAGCACGTTCATGTAGGCTCGAACACTGGCTAGCAGCTCCGAAGGCTTGGCGATCTCCATTGTCTCCTGGTTAAACATAACCATGCCCACAAGATCCCGGGAGAACCGGTGCTCCAGGTTTTGGCAGAGGTACTCGCGTGGGGCGAAAGCGAACTCCCACACGTTGACAGTGGGGCAATAGTTGATTGCAAAACAGAGCTCCGTCAAGGCCATGTGGAGCTTGTCCATAGTTGTCAGATCCTCCCGCGTCTTTCGGTACGACTCGTCACCCGGCTTTCGGATGTCGTCGAAATGCTTTGATTTCGATTTGTCCTTTTTCTTACGGGCAGACTGTACGGAAAGGATCTTAGCGCAGTGCTTGGGCAGTAAAGCGTCTGCCATGGTGCACTGCTCGTCGCAAATTGTGGTAATAATGTTTTTAGCCTCCTTCGCCATTTCCTCCAGGAAGATGTTTACCACGCTGAGTGACCTCTCTCGGATGTGGTGTCGCTCCTCGGGGCACATTTCGTGCGTGCAGTTTTGGAAGTGACTGCAGATCAAGGGAAAGGCTATGATATAGCGGTTCTGAGCAGGGAACTCCAAGCACATGTGGAATTGGTCATCAAACATTTTGTTATAAAAGCAGAATATGCTCAGATCCGAGGTCTCAACCAGTATTTCGTCCAAATTATCAACCACACGAGTGTGGAAAACCATTGAATCCAGAAGACGGGCCAGTTCTGCATGCTCAGCGATCCTTAGTGCAGCTTTACCAACACTCATGTACGTTTGAAGGCGGAACCAGTCCAGCCGAAATGGCCGGAAATAAAACAGCTCGTTGTCCTCAACCTGCTTCACAGTCAGACCTGCGGCCGTGTTGTACAGCGAGCTGAAGATTATGCTCTCGTCTTCCGGACACATTTGTAAGCTTTGCATTCGAATGTTTAGATCCGTGGCATCAAATCCGGATAAGTATTGCACGTAGTACCGCTGCATTACCTGGCTATATTTACGCACCAGAGCGCGGAGTTCCTCCATGTGGAAAAGAAGCTCAGGTAGCTGCCGGTCCACTAGATCCTCATTACTCTTTCCTATTAAAAATAATCGTAGTTATCAAAACAGTTAAAAAATAAAGCAGTACACTAACCTTTGTTTTTGAGCAGCGGCGGATTGTCGTTGTGTCTTAACAGCCAGAGGATCTCGTCGCGCGCTAAGCAAAGACCGATGAAAATAAATATTGCCTTAGGTCCCAGCAAACCTGGTTGGTCCGTCATTATAAGTGCTAGCTCCTTTAAGGCCGTTCGCAAGAACTTGCGTCGCTCCCGATGCATCAAAGCTGCTTTTTGGACAGCCGTGTTGTAGGTTTCCTTGACTTCGCCAATTCGTTTGCTATAGCCCTTAATTCCGTCGAAGGTGGCCTGAATGTACTGGTGGATTTGTAACACCTCGTCCCGGAACAGTGCCACTACCCAACTAGACTCCAGGGCCGAAAGCCAGATCTTGTTAACCTCCGGGTACTGTCCCAGCATTTGGTGGTTAAGCAGCAGGCCAAAGATTATCCAGCGGTCCATTGCCTCCAGGGAAATGTACTCGCAGGACATGGTGTCCGTGCGGACTGCCTTAAGGAGAATGGCCGGGTTGCCGACCAGACTGAGCTTCTGCATCTCCCTCCATTTGTCTGCGGGAAGATTTCGCAGTGCATATATTGATGTCAGCGAGCGAAGCGCACTTGTAAGCAAGCGCTGGTGGGGAATGAATTCCTCTGCCAGCTTTTTGAGCGGAACCTCGTAATCCAGGATCATCTGTCCCAGGCGGGGGAAGCCTGTGTCGGCCTGGTTGTTCTGCAGCTCGTAGGCGGCATTGTAAAGACCCAGCACCGCCTTGCGATCCTCGACCCTGGACAGAACGATCATCAGGGACACGTAGGTCACCACCAAGTCTAGGTAGTACTTGGTCAGCTCAAAATTCAGCGTGATGTCCAGGTGGATCTGGCAGGCGTCCATCGTGGTGAGCAGCTCGCACACATTGTCCTTGAAGTCCAGCAGATCTACGAATGTGTGGTAGTATAGGGACAGCGACTTTATGATCTCCGCCTTGATGTTCACAATGGCATTCAGGCCCTTGACGTCGATGTTGGGGAATCGCTTCACAATAAACTTGATGCTCGACTCCAGCGACTTCTCAGAGAGGAACCCCGGCTTCGATTTGGTGTCGCCGCAGGCCTTCTTAATGTTGTAAATCCGAGTCAGAATACCCAGGCCGCGGTCATTCAAGATGATTAGCTTCTCAGCTATCTTCTGCTGGTTCGGAAAAATTGGGCGTGCCATGTCCGCTGACTGTTGGCGACGACGAGTGGCTGAAAGCGACTTTCCGGTGGAGCCCAGAACACAAATTTGTGCTGGCGAACTTTTTAGCAAGAGATAAGCCCTAATCTGCCCGTAACTTATACTTTTCAGATTGTTAAATTGACCAAAAAAGAGCGACACAAAAGTGTACACATTACTCTTCTTCTTATTTTCGGGCTAGTGATGCACTAGGGTCCTCTAGTGACGATATACAACCATCGATAATATATCTGAAATTTTGGAGATTTTATTTTCAGTTTTTTTACGGTATTCCACATTTTTAAATTATTAGAACTATCTATTTATCAACAATTTTTACTAATTAATAACTTAAAAACTTATTAAATAAGTATTTACAAATCCGTTATCTCATACTAGAGTGGACTATACAACAAGAACTTTTATAATTGTTCCATTAATTGTGGATTGATAGCCACAGCCACTTTGACATTGAGGGACTCTTCATAAACCGAATTATTTTAGCTATCGTTTCTCACATAATCTAATTTGTAGAAATAAATAATTGAACAAAATGTTGTATAGTTTTTCCATGGGGAAATTTATTTTATTTTAAAATATCGCAAAATTTGGTGTCCATATTCACAATTGGCAAAACATTTTGGTATTATAAGGTTGCCATAAAACCATTATTAGTGTATATTAAACTTTTTGTTCAGTGTATGTTTGTGTCAGCTGATACTGACTATCGATATCAGCAGCCGATGACCGGCGGAGCGAACCGAGGAACCAGTAGTTCCATACCATAGTGCACGTTGTGTGCCACGCAAAAATCGCCGCAAATTGGTTTGATTTCTGATATAAAAGGTGGGCGAATAGGCATTGAAAATTTATAAATAATTCAACGGTGCACTTTGACAGCCATGGGAAAGAAACTGGAGCGCAGCGACGTTTGCCGAGTGCCGGAGAACATCAATTTCCCCGCCGAGGAGGAGAACGTACTGCAGCAGTGGCGTGCCGAAAATATCTTTGAAAAATGCAGCCAGCTGTCGAAGGGAAAGCCCAAGTAAGTGTCACAGCCGATTGCATCAGACAATTGCTAATCTGTGTGCGATTTGTCACCCAGATACACTTTCTACGATGGACCGCCCTTCGCCACTGGGCTGCCCCACTACGGACACATCCTGGCCGGCACCATCAAGGACATCGTCACGCGGTACGCCTACCAGCAGGGATACCATGTGGACCGTCGATTCGGCTGGGATTGCCATGGCCTGCCCGTGGAGTTCGAGATCGACAAGTTGCTGAACATCCGGGGTCCCGAGGACGTGGCCAAGATGGGAATTGCCGCTTACAACGCGGAGTGCCGGAAGATCGTTATGAGGTACGCCGATGAGTGGGAGAACGTGGTGACGCGCGTGGGTCGCTGGATCGACTTCAAGAACGACTACAAGACCTTGTACCCTTGGTACATGGAGTCCATTTGGTGGATCTTCAAGCAACTGTTCGACAAGGGTCTGGTCTACCAGGGCGTAAAGGTGATGCCCTACTCCACCGCCTGCACAACGTCGCTGTCCAACTTTGAGGCCAACCAGAACTATAAGGAGGTCGTGGACCCTTGTGTGGTGATTGCCCTGGAGGCCGTTTCGCTGCCCAATACATTCTTCCTGGTGTGGACCACCACGCCATGGACACTGCCCTCCAACTTTGCGTGCTGCGTTCACCCGACTATGACCTATGTGAAGGTGCGCGACGTGAAGAGCGACAGATTCTTCGTTCTCGCCGAGTCGCGCCTCTCTTACGTCTACAAGACGGAGGCGGAGTATGAGGTAAAGGACAAGTTTGCAGGCAAAACCTTAAAGGATCTGCACTACAAGCCGCTGTTCCCGTACTTCGAGAAACGCGGAGCAGAAGTGAAAGCTTACCGCGTCCTGGTCGACGAGTACGTCACCGAGGATTCCGGAACGGGTATCGTGCATAATGCGCCGTACTTCGGCGAGGACGATTATCGCGTATGCCTGGCGGCGGGACTCATCACAAAGTCTAGCGAGGTGCTCTGCCCAGTCGACGAGGCTGGACGGTTCACCAAGGAGGCCAGCGACTTTGAGGGCCAGTACGTGAAGGACGCTGACAAGCAAATCATGGCTGCGTTGAAGGCTCGGGGAAACTTGGTTTCCAGCGGCCAGGTGAAGCATAGCTACCCATTCTGCTGGCGGTCAGACACCCCGCTAATATATAAGGCTGTGCCTTCTTGGTTTGTGCGTGTCGAGCACATGTCAAAAAATCTGCTGGACTGCAGTTCCCAAACGTACTGGGTTCCCGACTTCGTGAAGGAAAAACGATTTGGCAACTGGCTGAAAGAGGCTAGAGATTGGGCTGTGAGTATAGAAAATTTAACCTCTTTTCTTTATTACTAAATGAAACACATTCTATCAGATCTCCCGCAATCGCTACTGGGGTACGCCGATTCCTATCTGGAGGTCTCCCAATGGGGATGAGACCGTGGTTATTGGCAGCATCAAGCAGTTGTCCGAGCTGTCTGGCGTTCAGGTTGAGGATCTGCATCGTGAAAGCATCGATCACATTGAGATACCATCAGCAGTTCCCGGAAACCCGCCACTGCGTCGTATAGCTCCTGTTTTTGATTGCTGGTTTGAATCTGGTTCAATGCCTTTCGCACAACAGCACTTCCCGTTCGAGAACGAGAAGGACTTCATGAACAATTTCCCGGCCGACTTCATAGCAGAGGGCATAGATCAGACTCGAGGCTGGTTCTACACGCTCCTTGTGATTTCGACGGCACTGTTTAACAAGGCACCGTTCAAGAACCTTATTGCTAGTGGGTTGGTTTTGGCCGCTGATGGCCAGAAGATGTCGAAGCGCAAGAAGAACTATCCCGATCCCATGGAGTGGTTCATAAATATGGAGCGGATGCCCTCCGACTGTACCTAATCAATTCGCCCGTGGTGAGGGCGAAAGTCTGCGCTTTAAGGAAGAAGGTGTACGCGACATCATCAAGGATGTATTTTTGCCCTGGTACAATGCTTACCGTTTCTTACTGCAAAACATCGTGCGCTATGAGAAGGAGGACTTGGCCGGAAAAGGACAATACATTTATGAGCGTGAACGCCATTTGAATAATATGGATAAGGCATCCGTAATTGATGTGTGGATTTTGTCCTTTAAAGAGTCTTTGTTGGAGTTCTTTGCCACCGAGATGAAAATGTATCGCCTGTACACAGTCGTGCCCAGGCTGACGAAGTTTATTGATCAACTAACCAACTGGTACGTTTATTCGTTCTTCACTAGTCTATTAAGGTATACCAAAGTCTTCGCTATTTTTCTACAGGTATGTGCGTCTTAACCGCCGTCGTATCAAGGGTGAATTGGGAGCTGAGCAATGCATCCAATCACTGGACACCCTGTACGATGTTCTATACACAATGGTTAAAATGATGGCTCCTTTCACGCCCTATCTTACGGAATACATATTCAGAGGTTGGCATTGTTCCAGCCACCGGGCTCCCTGGAGCACGCTGACTCTGTTCACTACCAGATGATGCCCGTTAGTCAGAGCAAGTTTATTCGAAGCGATATTGAACGCTCGGTTGCTTTGATGCAATCAGTCGTCGAACTGGGTCGTGTAATGCGGGATCGAAGAACCTGCCCGTTAAGTATCCAGTTTCGGAGATCATCGTTATTCACAAGGATCCACAAACCCTCGAAGCTATTAAGAGTTTGCAGGACTTCATTCTAAGCGAACTTAATGTTCGCAAATAACGCTGAGCTCCGATAAGGAAAAGTATGGTGTCTCATTGAGAGCAGAGCCTGACCACAAGGTTTGTTTATAGAGACTTTATTCGTTTGTATAAAGCTAATGAATCATTGTTTTCTCAGGCGCTGGGGCAGCGGCTTAAGGGCAATTTCAAGGCGGTTATGGCCGCAATTAAGGCTCTGAAGGATGATGAAATTCAGAAGCATGTTTCGCAGGGTTACTTCAACATCCTGGATCAAAGAATAGAACTCGACGAAGTTCGCATAATTTACTGCACCTCTGAGCAAGTGGGAGGAAACTTTGAAGCCCACAGCGACAATGAAGTTTGGTGCTGTTGGACATGACGCCAAACGAAGAGTTGCTTGAAGAAGGCTTGGCTCGTGAGGTTATTAACCGAGTCCAGAAATTGAAGAAGAAGGCTCAACTTATACCGACTGATCCAGTTCTTATTTTCCATGAGCTTACTGCCGACCAAAAAGCTAAGAAGGAAATCCTTGAGCTCAGGCTCAGCTTACAAAAGTTCTAGCTAGCTATGCAAGTATGATCAAGACGGCTGTTAAATCTGAGTTTGCTCCATATTCATCTGAGCAGGCATCCAAGAAACGGTTAATAGCTAGCGAGCTTGTTGATCTCAAAGGAGTTCCCTTAAAGTTGACCATTTGCTCCACCGAGGAATTGCAGCTTCCTAGTCTGCCTTGGTTAAATGTAACCTTGGCCGAAGACCTTGACCCACGATTTGGAAACAGCAATAAAGGGTCTCTATTTCTGCAGCACAATGTTACTAAGGAGATTATCTCACTGCCTAATCTTCGCAGCGAGCTAGAGCATCTGTTTGGCCTATATGGAGTCAACTTCATTATCTATGTTGTAGACCAGCAAAATAAGATTACCGAATTGAAGTCCATCGATAAGAACCTCAGTGGAAAGTTGTTGGTTCTAGCTCGCAGCCAGGACGCACTGAAACAGTCAGCGGGCTACAAAATATCCCCGGCTCCTTATTCTAAATTTGTGAACCAGCCTTCAGGAAATGTTATCTTTACGGAGAACCCCTTGGGACGCATCTTATGTTAAACTCTGTACTTTTTGGTATTTAATGGAAAACGAAAATAAAATATACGCTGTCAACTTTTTTAAAAAGTTGTAAGGCATTTTTACCGACATGAAATATGTATTTCATTTTTAAGTATGGAACAGTTAATAAGTAGAAGGCGTTCCGATCCTATATAATATCAAACAAAAACACCTCTTAACGAGGTAAGGAGTCTGCTGATCACTCACCATCAACATAAAAATGATCTGATATCTACTTTTGTGACGAATATACTAGTACATTTGACAAAACAAATACACTTTCAAAAATGTTCTCACTCTGCCCGCTTCAGCAAAATATTTAAGCTTCTCGCATCAAAGGTATATTCTATTGCAGCGTGTCGAATGAGAACATTTTAGAAAGTGTATTTATTTAGTCGAATTAGACATCAGACCTATGTATGTTGATGGTGCGTGATCAGCACGACCCCTTACCTCGTTAAGAGGTGTCTTTGTTTGATATCAAAAGTTTTTGTTATACCATTGCAGAAGGTATAATAATTTTAGTCAGAAGTTTGCAACGCAGTGAAAGTCGTTTCCGACCCCATAAAGTATACATATGTATATATTATTCTTGATCAGCATTAATAGACGAGTCGATCTAGCCATGTCCGTCTGTCCGTTTCAACGCAAACTAGTCTCTCAGTTTTAAAGCTATCGGGGCGAAATCTTTCCAAAAGTCTTAATTCTATTGCATAGATAGGCATGATCAAAAAAATATAAAGTTGGTGTTTTTTGACATACTAACTTCTACTCTTGAAAATATCATTTTCTTAAATATATTAGAATTTTAAATAAAGTTTTAAAATATCGGACGACGATATCCCCTAGCTCTCATAGGAACAATCAAAAATAAATTTTAAAAAAATGTTAAAAAATTATAACTTTGGTGTTTTTTAACATATTAACTCTAGGGAATATCATTCTTTCAATATTTCAGAATTTTGAATAAAATTTATAAATAATCGGATGACTATATTTAATAGCTCATATCGGAACGATCAAAAAAATATTTTAAAAATATGTTAAGAAACTATAACTTTGGTGGTTTTTGATATATTAACTTCTACACTTAGGAATATTATTCTTTTAATGTTTCACAAATTCGAAAAAAAATTAAATTTTAAAAATCGGGCGACTATATCATAAAGCTGCCTTAGATACGATCCGATAAGTTAAGGGAAAATAATATGAAAATAATTATAGCTTCGTTATTTTTGATCGTATTCTCTTCTACTCCGGTATATAATGTTTTTCAATATTTCAGAATTACAACTTCTATTTAAAAATAAGGAACAACGCTTTAGTGGAGTACCTCGACTATTAGATACCCGGACTTAGCTAAAGGGACTAGAGGGAGATGGAGATATGCAAGCAGCAAAGCGAGATTGTAATACGCTACCTACCCACGATCTTAATATTGGTTATGTGGGCGGCAGATTTAAGCGCTATGGGTCAATAGATAGGTATTGACAAGACTAATACATTTTAGTTAAAATTTGGTTTCTCGCATGAAAATTGTAACAGATTTGGGCAGGAATCTCTAGAATCTGCGTGCCTAATCCCAGTATTGCAGCTAATATAGTACATTATATATAGTTTCCGAGATCCCAATTTTTTTCTAGCATGAAAATTGTGGGCGCCATGTGCTTGGGCGGCTTGTGGGCGTTAGAGTGGGCGTGGCATATTCGCGTTACAAACTTGCGATGCGTACAAGACTACGGAACTTAAATCTGAAATCCCAATTCTCTATCTTTGATAGTTTCCGAGATAGCCGCGTTCATACTTACGATTTTTTTAAGTTTGTGGGCGGTTTTATTACATTACATTAGTTAAAATTTTTATTCTAACATTAAAACTTTAGGAGCCAAAGTTTTGTGCGGTTGTGGGCGTTTTAGTGGGTGTGGCACACTGACGAAACAAACTTGCGCTGCGCAGGAATCTCTTGAACCTACATACCTAATCCCAGTATTGCAGCTTTTATAGTTTCCGAGATTACAGCGTTCATACGAACAGACGGACATGGCTAGATCGACTCGGCTAGTGATCCTGATCAAGAATGTATATACTTTATGTTATTCATGTTACATACTTTCCGACGAATCTTGTATACCCATTTACTCTACGAGTAACGGGTTTAAAAATGTCCATCACATCACAGTATTGAGAAAATAGCAGCTTGAGGTTTAGACAGTTTTCTGGGTGGAGGTCTATTTTTTATTTGATTGATTTCGCAATCGTTAAGTTCTTAACGTCAAAAAAAATTCAAGAGATTCGTCATGCCCTTCGAAGCAGGTTGGTTTGAGAGCTCGACCACAGTCCCAAATTTGCTTTCCATTGAAAATCCCATATAATTGATACAAAGATAACTTTTTATGTTTTCATTTTTATTGAAATCGCTTTTTACTCGTAATATTATTAGTTATTATATATATTTATATGGATGTTTTATCATGTATGTATATCGGCTTGCCATAATTATAGGTATTTTCTGTGTATACAATTGTCCTTTGTTTTCTGCAATCGATTTGTAATTTATAGCCTATACCCTCTGCACTTCACTCGGCATCTGTATACTTTAAAGACAATTTCGTACATTGAATATTGGTTGCAATTTATGCATGCTTAAACTGCCTCAACGGACTGGCTGCTTTTAAGTGTGGTTTGTTTTTCGTTACAATCAGTTAATAACTCTAATCATGATCTCAACTAATTAAGTAGGGTAAGCCTTTCCCCATCCTGGAAATTTACAGTTCAAAGGACACTCAAAGAACAAAGGACTAGGGGAACATACGAGATTGAAGCACAGTCGAGCTCGACGACGACCATCGGCAACGGCGTGGTATCTATAATTTTTCTTGTTTCAGTCACAATTATTCGCATTGCAGTTTTCTTTATACTGATTTCAATCATTTTGTTTTGTTATATGCTTTTTGGTTAATATAATGCTGCTTAATTTTATTACATACACATTCATATACGGATTTCTGATTTTTACAATTTTCGTTATTTTGTAAGAACTGATTCTGTGTAATGACCTGAAAATGGATTTTTCCAAATCTTCACACAGCGCTAGATTTACAACCCGAATAAACGAATTCAGAGAATGATGCATATTCCTTAATTTAAAGTTTAAGTGTTTATCCATTTTCATTTATAATTTTATTTAATAAAATTACTAACACTTTAGCTAATTACTACGCAGTTATCTTCTGTAATCGTCTGTTATTTCCTCACATGAAACAGAATCCAATCGCTTATTTTCACTTCTGTTAGGTGCTAATCCTTTCTGTTCTTACGAGCTTTGTCTTTAGCCTAGTTCTTACGCCTAAGTTTAGTTGTATGTGTGGGTGTTTATAATACAAGGTGTGTTTTAATGGTTATAGGGGGTATATATTTAAGTTCTGCGCAAGTCCTTATGCGCACTAAGTTTTATGCTAGTTAATATCTCAATAGTCAATAGTTTAGGTTCAATTATAAATAGTTCAATAATAATTATAAACACAAAGTACCGACAAAAGGTCAGCCACATAAAAGGGGATTGAGAAAGATTTTTTATTGTTAAAAAAAAGAATAAAAAGACACTAAAACTTATGTGACATTCCCGTGGGGGTTCGTTACTAAAAACTGTATTGCTTTTACAAATTAACATGGCAAACGGTAAGAACTAAATATTGCAGCATAAAAACTAACCATAAAAGACTATATTTAAAAATGAGTAAAATACATGTGGTTGAATTTCATTTTCGGTTCAATTTGAGTTAATTCGTTTTTTGTTCGTTACACTTCAAGTTGTCAAATGAAATGTTTAGAAATATATATCACAATTTGTAAAAAGTTTTTAATGCATTTTTCGTTTGAATAAATTCAACAGTTAACATTATAAAATGAGTGAAAAGAGTCGGTAGAGTATTCTATTGCATTGAAGAGGGACTGATAAAATTCCTTTTGATTCTTGGCTATCCAAAAAAGGTAGACGCGTCTGATAAATTTAAATTCGAGCATTCGGTTCAGATACCTATTTCGCTAAAAAGACTTTTAGATTAGGGGATAAACACGCGTTGTTCGTTGGCTAAAGGATAGAAAAGTATTCGTTCGTATATACACAAAGCAATTAAGAAGGTTAAGCGGCGATCAACATCTCTGTTGCCATACGAGAGTGGGCTGTGTTGGAGTGGGCCAGATTCGGGCCGAGGACTAGGGGGCTACTACAGAGAACTTTAATCTTTTTACATTTATTCGTTTCGTAGTTTAACATCTGTACTTATCGTATGCATATTTTGCTGTGTAATACTCATCGTTTGACATCGTAATGCAACTGGCTTATTGGGGAGCGTTTGACCAAACTCCGAGAAAGCGAATCTGTTCGGATCTGTTCAGTTGGCTCGATCTATACAAGTCTAATTCGATCTGCCTCGGCTAATGTACCAATCTATGCATGTAATACGCTCCCTAGCGTATTACGCCAGTGTAAGCTGGCTGCCCGTGGGGACACTGATTCTGATTTAAAAAATTACATTAAACATTACACACATGGACTAAACATACGCCTATTGTTAGCCTAAACTCAACATCAACATACATATTACTGTTCCTGTGTACATATAAGAAGTTTCTTCGGTTATTCGAGGGTTGCGTTGTGGCTAATACTAAACTTTAAGCACGATTAAAGTTTATATTAATTAGTGTGTTGAATGCTCGCTTTTCTTTTGTTTTCTTTCCTTTTGTGTTGTGTCATCGAGGTTGTGCTGTTGTTCATCTTGTGGTCGCTGTTGCGCATTTCACCTAATTACAAATCTGCTCGTCCAGTGCCTCGCTGCTGTCCCTCGGCTCCTTCTTGCCCACGGCAATTAGGTAGTCCTCCTGTTCGCCGTACTCTTCGTCGGCCATGTTGCTCTCCTCCAGCTCCAGCTCCAGTCCGTCTCCGCCTCCTGCTTCTCCCTGTGAGCCTCTACTCACGCACTCAGCTCGCCGAACTTGAGCTGGCGCCGGTTGGAGGCACTCCGGTGGCTGCTGCCGGTCTTGCGTCGCTTCCGCTTTGCGTCCCGCTGGAATGCTACGTTGCCGGGGTCGTCGGCCAATTGCGGATACTTGTGTATGCTGTGGATGTCGATGCCGTTCCAGCCGTCGACGTCGCCGTGCTGGACGAGCTCTTCCTTCTCCTCTTCGGTCCAGTCGCCACGCCTTGGAAGCCGGCGGCCACCAGCTGCTTCTCCAGCTCCCAGGCCCGCTCCACTGCCCGCTTGTGGGCATGCTTCAGGATGCGGTGGCGCTCCTGCTCGGGATCCACGCCGTACTTGATAATGACAACGGCGTCGGGGCCGTGCAGGCGCAGCTCCTTGGCAGCGCTGCCTCCATGGTCGCTAATTTCGTGTGTTGATATGTTGAACATGCCGCCAAGGCGACGCAGCTCCTCGTTGTCATCACGCAGCTTCAGGACATTGTCCTTCACGAAGTAAAACACGTCTTGGTCGTGAATGCTGAAGTGCAGGTCCAGGAAGTACGAGTTGTTGAACACACTGCTCACCACGTCCTGCACCACGCTGTTCGATCCGTCCACTACGCTGACCAATGCTCGTCCCCCGATCCTCGAGAGCAGCACGCCCTCTCCGAAAACGCCACGCCGGTAGCTGACCCGTGGCAGCAGGTTTCGCATCTTTGGCTCCATCTTAAGCAGCGGCTTGGGCACGAAGTCAAAGTCGCTGAACTTCTCGCTGGTCTTTTCGACGATGCACTCCAGGCCGGAGATCACACCGAAATCGGGAGCCAGCATGTTCGACTTGATGGAGGCCTGAGGCGTGTACTGGGCCAGCTTGGTGTACCGGCTGCTCTGCATGTTGTTCAGATCATAGCCGAAGAGCTGCAGCCAGGAGTCCAGGTCGATCATGTAGTTCTGCGGTCGGTTCGGGTTGATGGGGTCGTTGTTGTGGTAGCGGTAGATGAAGACATCCGTGGGGTGTGACATCTCGGTGGCCAGGGTCTCCCATAGCGGGGTCATCCACTGGCCCACGTGGGGTCGTACTGCCGCTGCTCAGTGTACACCAGCTTGGTGTGCGGGTCGATCAGTCCGCCGTGGAAGTCGATGGGCACAAAGAAGTCCGGCTTGGTGTCCTTTATGATCCGGCCGAAGGGCGTCCGTTCATCTCCTTGACGATGCCGCCATTCTGATCGAAGAAGGCCAGTGGCGAGCCGTTCTGGTCGTGGCCACGTAGTAGCGCTGCTCCTCATGCTCCAGAGCGATGAGCATGTCGCGGTCGTCGTAGAACAGCTTCATGGTGCGGCTGAGCTTGGGGAAGTGCACGTGGGTCACGAGGTGCGGGGTGCGCGGATTGGCGTAGTAGTACTGCGTGGTGTTGCCCTTGTTGTCGTGCCAGGCCACCAGGCGGCTGCGGTCATCGTAGTAGTACCAGCTCTGGAAGCGCTCCCTCTCGAACGAGTGGATCAGTTGTCCGCGGTTGTTGTAGCGATACTTCTGCTCCCCGCGCTTCACCACAAAGCCGCGCGCATCGTAGTTGTTGAACTCAACATCGCCCACCTTGATCACACGGTCCCCGATGTCGTAGCCCAGGTTGAACTTCTCCCCTGGTCCACCACGCCCACGGTGTTGCCGTTCTCGTCGAAGAGATACTTCCAGTTGTTGGTGCCCTGGACGTCGACCACATGCCGTCGGCATTGTAGGTAATCTTATCGAAGGCCGTGGACCTGCCGAATGTCGTCTTCTGGGACTTAATGCGGTTGCGCAGATCGTAGTCCAGCTCCAGCCGGAAGACATCGACGTTCTTCACGTTCATCAGCACGCTCTTCACCCGGCCGTGCTGGTCGTAGTCCACAATGGTGAAGAACTGCTTGGCCGAGTCCTGGATCACCGTCCGGTTGAAGGCGTTGCGCGTGATTTTTAGGTCCTGCACGACCTCCAGCTGGCCTAGGTTCTGACTGTACTTGTATCGCGTGGTCGGTAGCTCCTTGTCGTCGATGGCCATCTCGATGCCGCTGAGCCGGGCGTTTCCGTCGTAGGCGTACTTGTAGTGAGCCGAGGCCAGGGAGTTCTTGGAGCCGAAGCGCAGTTTTTCGTCCTTCAGGATGCCGGCATGGTACTTAAACTCGCGTCGCAACTCGAAGCCTGGCTCCTGCACCTCCACGGACTTTACCAGGCTGGTCGTGTCCTGGTAGGTGTAGTGGGTGCTGGACAGGCCGGCGAGGATGGTCTCCAGTCGCCCGGCGGTGTCGTGCACGAATGCCACCTGCGAAGATTAAGAACATTTATTATTACTATTACAAGACATTACAATCTACAGATCTACAAAAACCTATTTCTGCCTTGATACTTAGAAAATGAGGTAAAAACACCGAAAAAAGGCGGTATGCAAAAAAAACGTTCGTAAATATTAAAAGGGATATTTAGCATGGGGTATAGTGCAGACTAGAAACATAAAACATAGATCCTGAGATCATTACATGCTGTTGATACAATGGGCCTCTTATCAACACGACGGAATAAATGATATACCTATTTTTCAAGCTCATGATTGATTTACTCACCTTGCCAGATTGGTGCGGATGGATCTTGGCCAAGATCTGACCCTCGTCGTTGTACAGAATCTCGAAGGGATGTCGGTTGATTGGTGAATAGTATTGGTACTTGAAGAAGCCGAGCGAGGTTTGCAGCGAGAATGCGTGAATGTGGCCGCGAGGTGTGGTGAGGCTCTGAAGGGCCCAGCATCGTCGTACTGCAGGAGGTAGTCTGAACGCCTGGGAGTGGTCACCTTCAGTGGCAGAGAGCCAAACATGTCCTTGAATGCGTACACCATGGTCGACCCATCGCCGTACTTGATCTCGTTCAGGCGTCCGTTGCGGTCGAAGGAGTAGGCCTCCTGCAGGACTCCCCATTTCCAGCTGACCAGGCGTCCGAATCGGTCGTACTCCAAGTCCACGTCCGCGTAGTCCCCGACTGCGGTCGGAAGCTGATAGGGCGCGACGTGCGGTCGTAGGTCACATTGAGCAGCTCCTGCTTGTCGTCCACCATCACGACCACGGACTGGGTCTCGCGGTCGTACTCCAGGGTCAGCACATTGTCGCCGTTGACACGCAGCTTGCGACCGACCTCGGTCACGGGACGCGGTGGACCCTTGCTCTGCTTGCCCGCTTGCAGTGGCTGCTGGCGGCGCACAAAGTAGCGCCACTCGAACCGGTTGGCCAGGTCGCCGGCGATCTCGGTGCGCTGCTTGGCCGGCACAGGGTAGCTCTCACCCAGGAGAGGACTTTGCTCGGCCAGAATTGTATAGGGCGCCACCTCCATTTGCAGGTTGTGCCCCATGGTGTGATGCTTGTGGTGGAGCCGTCCATGTCGACGGTGGTGCGCGACTCGGCGGCTCCGTTGCGCACGATAACGGTGGCGCCTTGTATCAGCAGCGACATTTCCTTCTGCGCGTTCTCCGACACCTTCACCTGGGCTCCCTTGACGCTCAGGTCGAAGCTCAGTTCGATGACCCGTCCGGTGGGCGTAACGGCCGAGGTCAGGCGACCGAATTCATCGTAGTTGTACACGTAGGAGCGTCCGGTCGAGTCCAGCTTGGTCCTCAGCAGGCCGGTGGGGCCGTGATACTCGTAGGTCACATTGTAGTTGTCCGGAGTGCTCAGCTCGTGCAGCATCTTCATCCGGGTCATGCGCAGGCGGCACTTCTGACCCTTGGTGTTCTCGATCGAGTTGACCTGCGAGGTGTAATCTCGCAGCAGGAACACCTTGTTGCCGGCGGCATCGGTCACGGTGCTCAACTTTCCATTGGAGGTGTTTACGTTGTAGGTAAACACATAGGTCGTCTCTCCTGTCAGGATGTTCCGAGTGGACACGTGCTGGCCGAAGCGGTTGAAGATGTAGATCTCCTGCATGTCCGGCGCGTAGATCTCGTACTCTCGCGAGGGACTTGCCTCCGGGATGCTGGACATCACCGAGCGGATGCGGTAGTTGGCCTGGTCGGCAATGTGCACATGACTGTCGGGAGTGACGGCCAGGGCGGCGATCGTGTTGAACTTGGCGCTGGTGGCCAGGTAGTGCTCCGCCTCAAAGCAGTCGCAACCGCGCTCCAGGCAGTTGCACTTGGACTCAGCGCCCGCAAACGAAGCGATGCGTCCGTCAGTGCCGATCACTCGCACCCGGTTGATTCGCTGCGAGTCGCTCTCCGCAACGTACAGCTCTCCCAGGGGACCGAATGCGATCGACTGTGGCATCACCAGGGTGGCGTGGGTGGCCAGGTCCGTGTCGTAGGCGGTTGAGGCTGTGGCGCAGTGCAGGGGTCTTCCGGAGATGACGCGCACCCGTCCGTCCGGTGTCATGCGAAGGATCATGTGGTCGTCGATGATGTGCAACGTGTTGTCCATCGGAGACACGGCCAGCTCAGTGGGCCAGCGCAGATGCATCTCCTCCAGCTTGAGGGTTCCCTCGCAGGGAATGGGCTTCCAGTGGGACTTGTGCATGTGGTTACCAATCAGAGTGCTCACGATTCCGTCCCGGTCGACCATGCGGATATTGGTTCCGTCGGCGAAGTACAGGATGTTGTCGCTCGAAATAGCTATTCCCTTCGGATACGCCAGCTTGGCGTCCTTGGCCAGGGCTCCGTCGCCGCAGTGGGCTTCGTCGCCGGGAAGACAGCGCTCTCCGGAGCCCACGACCGCCTCCCAATTGAGTTCCGGCTGCGAGTAGTCGCTGGTGTCGCGCACCCTAATGATCTGATGCGACTCAGGGTCCGAGACGTACAGAGTGCCGTCTAGCGGACTGAGGGCCATGTGGTAGCGGTACGAGACGCGGGTGGCGTTCAGCTTGACCACAGTGCGGATGCTGCCGTCCGTCATGATGCGACGGATATAATTGAAGTCGCCGACAAAGAGACTGCCGTCGGGAGCGGCGGCCAGGGCGACGGGCGCCAGGAGTCGCTGCTTCGTGGCCAGTCCGTCACAGTCGGGGCACTCGAGTGGCCGCTGGTGGCCATCTCCCATGGTGGTCAGGATTATGCGCGGCTTGTTGCGCAGGTATATGTTCGAGCCGTCGCCCTTCTGCAGGATGCCCTCGTGGAAGTTGTAGCGGTGGTGGATGTCCAGGTTCCAGCCGCCCACCTCCGAAATGGACATGTCGTGGCCGCTCAGCTTGGTCGTCTGGATGTCCCACACAATGTCGGTGCAGTCGGTGTACTGGTAGCCGACCTTCACCACGGCCGTGGTCACGCCGTAGACGCGTTGCCGGTAGATGTTGAGTCTGTTCCAGGCGTACGTGAACTTGATGCCCGGGTCCGCCTCGAAAACGCGTTCGAACAGGATCCCCTCGATCGTGATGCGCAGGTGGATTAGGTGCAGTGAGGGTGGAATAACGTCGGGGGTCAGTTGCAGCTTGATGGTGGATAGGTAGCCGGCGGCACGCGACGAGTGGTAAACCAGGTTGAGGCCCGTGCCCGGGATCTGCAACGACTCTTGGATCACCTGAGACTCAGCCAGGATGGCACTGCGATCGGGGCATGCGCCCTGGAAGCCGTGCTTCCATGAGGCCAGCACCACGGGCTTCATCAGATCGTAGTCGTGGGCAAAGCAGGTGTGAGTCGTTGCCACGGCCAGTCCCTTCTCCTCGGACATGGACATGACCACCACGTCGATTATGACCACCTCGTTCCACGGCACTTGCACGATGCGCGACTGCGGCCGGAAAGGAGCTCGTCCGAACTGCAGGGTCACGGCGCCGCCGCCATTGACCATCAGGTCGAACCATCCATCGTCGCGGGTCAGGGTGAAGCCCTCCAGCAGAGTGGTGGTGGACACGCGGACACCCACCAGGCCCATGCCCAGGGATGTGACCACGCGGCCTCTGATCACCGCCGATCGACTGTTGGGAGGACAGAGAAGATGGATTAGTCGGGTCTCGCAGGGATGGGGTCTTCTGGGGATATCTAGGCGTAGATCTAGCTAGGCTAGCGAGCAGTCAAACTGAGAATTCGCAACTACTAGAGCAATAAATAAGTACAAATAATAAGAATTCACACGCACAGAACATAAGACTCGTTTGAACACATAAAGGTATTACAGTTGAACAATATATAGTATGTTATGTATGGTTTATCTCGGTATGGCTCATGTTTGTGACCTAGCATTGACCTAAGTACGAGTAGGAGAATGAGTTTTCCATAGCTTAGATTTATTACGTGGTAAACTAAAAACCCAACGTTTGGCCTGGTTGTCTGGATAATAAGTTTGGGCAATGAACTTAAAATAAACTACCAACTGAGCTTATAAGAAACAAAGAAAGCTACACTATAAACGAAATGATAATGACAATGGTAACAGTAATTGTAACGGTAAGTGTAATGATAATGGGAGTTTTCGAAAGTAATATCGAGTGGAGCCAAGGTAACGAGATTAAAAGTATACAGATGTGTACCAAACAACCATTGAGAATCAGTAGTAGTAGAGTAGTTTTAGTATTATTTTAGTACCGCTTTTCGCTTGCTTACCTTGCATTGAAATAATTCCAAAAAATGCTGTTAGTATTTGAAACGTATTTCGTTACCGAGAAACAAACAGTACGGGCAACAATTTCGAGTACCGAGTAACGAGAGCGTTTAGCAGTCGTTGGTTAATGCATAGCATTCGGAATTGGAATTTCGTGACGCGTAGTGAGTGGTGTGAGTATGTGCGTAGTTAGTAGTGAGTGGTAGTATCGAGTAGAACAGGAGTAATTTAGTAGGTGGCATGTATTATTTTAAACACGGTTTAGGGAGCGCGTGTGGAGAAGAAAAGAGAGCAGAGAGAAAATAATTGAATTAGCATGGTTGTCTATGGTCTAGTTAGCTAGAATGGGTAAGTGTGTTCATATTGCCCCACCAGATCGATTGGGGACCCTAAAGCCGAGCTCCGTTTCGATCACACCGAAATCGCGACGTCTGGTTACTTAATGATAGCTAATCCGAATACCTAGGACGCTTATAATATTTCTTAACTCATATGCACTTAATAGCTAACTTAGGATGTTTCTGTCTGGGTTCGTTTAAAACAAAGGACATATAGGGTTTATATTTACAAGATTTAATGGGATCTTTGGTATGTGGTGTGGTTGGATATGTTTTTATTTTGGGGATTTTTTTAGACGAGGGCACGAAAACGAAAAACGTAAATATTTAAACATAGAAAATTATTAATTATGCAACTATTGATTATTATTTTTTAGGTAGTATATGTTTGGTTACGGTAGTAAAACCAACTAGACTCTCGGTAATATACAGTTGAGGACTTTAGCTTGTCTGCCAATTGTGGAAACTATACACAGCCAGGGCGGCCTCGATTTCGATTGGTAACTAAAAACTGTCCAGGACAAACTGGCTACCAGGAAGCACCTACCTTTCGTTAAAGGTCTCCAGTTTCGCGTAGTTTTGCAGGCTGCTCTCGTCGATGAGGAACTTCATGCGCTCAAAGAAAGAGGCAGTTATGGCCGGCGGCTGTTTCCGCAGCAGCACGTCAATGGGTTTCGGAGCGGAAACGCAGAGCTGGGAGGTCTTGCACACGTGGCTGGCGCAGCACTCGGGATCCTCGCAATCAACCAGGCCATCTAGGATTCAGAATTGAGGTTTGAGAATCCGCTTGTCCCTTGCCCAGAATCCGGCACTCACCCTTGTCGTTGTCCTTACTGTCGCCGCAGTTGAGCTCCAGAGCGATGCCGCAGTCCGGTCCGTCCCAGCCCTCGTAGCAGCGGCACTCCCACTGGCCCTCGCCGCTGACGCGGCACTGGCCGTGTCCGGCGCAGCTGTTGGGACAGCCCTCGATGGTGCAGTGCTTCCCGTTCCAGCCGGTGACGCACAGGCAGGTGCCGTTCTTGCACTGGCCGTGCTCGTTGCAGCGGGCGTCGCACAGCCGCGTGTTGCAATACTCGCCTCCCCACTCCGGGTCACAGGCACAGGCGTCGCCCTCGCAGCGACCATGCTGGCCGCAGTCCAGGTCGCACAGCTCCTTGGAACAGTCGTCGCCGCTCCACTTGGCCTCGCAGGTACACGTCTGGGTGTCCAGGTCGAAGGTGCCGTGGCCGGAGCAGTCGGGCAGGCACTGCAGCGCGTCCTGATCCATGGTGGCGCAGTCCGGTCCCTTCCAGCCCTTCTTGCAGATGCAGGTGCCGTCGGCGCAGAATCCGTGGCCCGAGCAGTTCGGATGCGGACAGTCCACTGGTGGGGAGAAGAATCAAGAAAGTTAGTAGGAGTCAAACATAAAGGGTCAAGCTAGGTGGGGGACAAGGGATCCTAGATCCTGGTGCTACCTTCTTCACAGAATTTGCCCTTGTAGCCGCGCATGCACTGGCACTTTCCGCTGACGCAGTGGCCATGGCCATTGCAGTCGGCCACCTCGCACTCGTCGTGCCGCAAGGAGCACTCCTTGCCCTTCCATCCCGGGTTGCAGATGCACTCCCCGTTGGTGTATTCGCCGTGCTGGGAGCACAGCACGGGGCACACGCTCTCGCTGCAGTCGTCGCCCCCGAAGCCTGGGTTGCACTGGCAGTGCCCCAGCAGGCACTGTCCGTTGCCGGAGCAGCCGTTGGGGCAGTTTTGGGTCATTTCCTCGGCCACGGCCGCGTAGAAGGTCAGCTCCTGCACGTCCCCGTCGTCGTTGTAGAGCGATACGAACCAGTGCCCCGGTTCCATGTAGCGCGTCACCTCCCGGGTTATCGACAGCTGCACGGGATTAGCGTGTGCGAAGCGTACGATCGAGCGAGTGATGGATGCAGTGGGGGATGTGTGATGATGGGTGTGCATGAAAAGACACGACTAGAGTTAGTAGACGATCGGGAGCAGGGGCACGCGGAGGCAGGCTACTTACGTGAGCGGCCCGGGCCGTTCGTGTGCTGGCGCTGAATCCGCTGAGCACTTCCTTGAAGTGGTACTGCGTGTGGGTGGGCAGGGCGTTCCGCCGGCCGTAGACTCCGATGGAAGCGCCTCGCGGGATCGTGTAGTCAAACTTGACGTAGGCCGGCTCCGACTGGTAGAACTGCATGTTCCAGTAGCTGTACGGCTGGATCTCCTTGGTCAACTTCTGGCCGAGGGTGATCTGTCCGAAGGTGGTGCCGTCCGGTGGGAAGCTGCGTGCCGGGAATGTTCGAGCTCCTGGTTTGGCAATGTTTCGAGCGTGCGATGGAAGGTGATAGAGATACAAATATGATTAGATTCTGGTTAGTCTTCGATTAGGCATATGGTATGTGTGGTTTTGCTAGTGTGGCACGATTTTGTACAGGTCTTGGTCTATCCTACTCGCGAGACCCCCAGTTAATGAATGGAAGTTCGAAATATATACATAGCCAGAGGCTGGTGCTGATGCTGATTCTGATGCTGATGTGATGCCAATAGCTTATGCTTGAAGGCAGTTTGTACAAATGGGGGAGATGATCTGGTTTAGTTACATAGACTAGGAGTTAATAGGCTGTACAGCGCTTAGTAGGGTTAATCAATCGCTGGTTAGACAAAGCGGAGTTAGCGACAAATGCTTGTGCACAATTCACCTTCCAGTATAAGTACTGGCATCACATCAGGGCATGCAAACGGTTCCCCACCAGCACCAACAGAGGGTTCAGTATAGGAGGCGGCAATGTTGTTATCGATCTCAGTGCTAGTGAGGTTAGTAGCGGTGCTTGGCTCCGAGTCCCTAACCCCGTCTTCTTCCTCCTCGCTGGGGACATGACTCAAGATAGTCGCCATCTCCAAAGGCCCAGAGGTCGTGGTCGGGGCACTTTTGGTAGTCGTGGCCGGTGGTTCAGAGTCAATGTCAACGCTGTCGGCCAGGTAGATAGCCGCCGGAGGCGGGAGACAGCTGCAAGGACAGTCGGGCATGCGGGGTGGTGGCTCTGGGACACAGCTGTCTGGCTGGGCACTCGGCTTCTCGTGGGTCAGCACCTCCTTGATGGTGTGCGGCCCTCCGCCCGTGGGCACTTCCACGTGCAGTGTGTAGACGGAGTCGCTGCCCTCGTCGGTGGCTATTGTCAGGTTCAGGAATATCCGCCTTCCCGGCACATCAACGCGCTCACTCACGTAGGGCTTCAGGGGCTCTAGGTGAGGGGGTCCCTCGTCGTCCTTTTGCTGCTCCTTGAGCACTTCGTTCTCACTTTTGTCCGCGGGCTGAGGTGGTTCCACCTTGGGTGCTATCTTGTCCTTGACTGCCGTCTTGTAAACTTCTTCTTCATGGGAACTGGGCAACCCATCTAGTTTGACTATGTCGATGTCCTCGAATTGCGACGCATCGCTCATCATTAAATCCGAGTCCGATTGATTGGTTTGCGGTAAGTCCTCGCTGATTTGCTGACTTTTCTTACCTTTGATACCAAATTATGGGTGAGTTAAAAGCACAAGTGGTATAGAATTGCATGCTCAGACTCAGTTAACATAATTACAATGCGTTCATCAGTTTTTCATTTGGGATTTTTGTTGAGGATCGTAAGATCGATAGTTGGGTTAAACAGGAAATTTTCTAATTATGTCACTTAGTACTTTAAGGAAAATTAGTTAGAATCAGGATACAAAAATGATATTTGTTATTCTTTACCAACGATCGATTTCGGAATCCATCGCAAAAAAACCAAGATCACAAGATGAAAGCATCATATGCACATTACCTGAGCCTGAGCTCAAGTCGCAACTCTATACCACTGGCATGGCTCGACTTGCGGTCGAGGGGAGCTTGATTTATACCTTGTGGAGGTGTGGCTGTTGATGTCGGCTCCCCGGTGTCTACCTCATAGTTGTCAGCTAAATCACGCTCATTATTGATATCATCAGTGGCAGGTTTCTCCGTCTGCCGCCCTGCCTCCTCAGTACCTTTGATTTGAAAATCATTTTCAGTGGCAGGCTGGTGCGATACGGCGGAGAAAGAGCTGTGAGCTGGCTCTGGTGGGGGGGTGTTGATTTCAACAATGTCATCGGTGTCACTCCTCGGAGTCGTCTCCCTCGTTGGGCCTGAGCTGCTGTTGTCACTTTGATTATCGTCATCAATAACAGCAGCCGATGTGCTAGTCTGCGACCCCGTCGCCAGGTCCGTTGCCATCCCAATCGCTTCGGGATGCTCCAGCTCATCCTCCTTAATGTGCTCCTCCCCCTCCGCTCCGTGGTCATATTTCCTCCGCTTGTTGACCAGTGTTTTAGCAGCGCTGCGTAAATTGCTGTTTAATGATTTGCCAAATTGTTGCCCCGTCTTGGGTGTGCGGCTGGGCGGTCGGGTGGTCTCCGGCTCGACTTCGTCTTCATAGACATAGTCGTCCTCCGTGGTCTCCGTATCTTCCTCGCTCCTTTGGGCACCCGATACTCCTTCGATTCGGGGAAAAGTTTTGTCGGTACTGCCTGACAGGCTTTCTGCTGGGGTAGTTGCCAAATACTTTTCAGCAGGCTGCCGGTTGAGGCTTTCGCTTGTAATTAAGTCGCTGAAAGTTTCATCTGTAGCCGCATCATCTTCGTCCTGTCCCTCGATTAAGCCTCGTCGATGGCGTCGTCCTTTTTCCCCTGCCCCACTGACTAACAGCTGCGTTGACATTGCTCTTCCTACAGGTAAACAAAGCAAAGGGATCGATTCGATTCGAAACGAACGGGGAGTGATTTGTACTGTACTTTGGGATGGGTTCCCACGGAAGTCACCCCTAGTCTCACGCCTCTTTAAATGAAGCGTTAAATGTGTTTTTAATTCAATCCTAGTTGTCTGGATTTGAGCCCGTTAAGGAGCCCTTGAGTGGGGGCTGAAGGGACCGGGGAGTCAGAGAAAGCGATATATCTCCCAACAACTCGAGCTGTGGCAATGAAAACTTTCGACTGTCTCCCTCTGACTGCCGCCTTCTCGGGCGTCTCGCTGTCAATTCAAAAAAGTAATTAATGCAATATTTTAGCCCGACAAATCCCAAAGAACGCGCTCAAGTTGAACTTTAATTGAAAGAAATGGAAGGCGTTCCGAGAAATAATGAAAACGGCATTCGCATAATCCCTATCCGGCGTAGGCGTCTGTCTGTCAGGCGCAAACTTCGAGCTAAAAAATCCTGCAAAAACAATAAACTTTTGTCTCCGCCAGAGGGCGCTAAGCGCTAAATACTCCGACGTCTTGGCTTTCTCTCGCTCCGTCTCAATCGCTTTCTCCCTCCCCTCTCTCCGACCGCCCGGCGAAACTTGCGAAAACTCATTTAAAAATAATTAAAAGTTGTGCATAATTACCTCCATTATTGGCATTCGCCAGGGACGAGGACAGCGAGGGCGTCAGCGAGGACTGGGAGGAAGACGTGGCCGCCGAGGACGTGGCCTCCGCGGAGGCGGACGTCGACTGCAGTCCCTGGGCGGTGCCGCTGTTCGAGGTGGCGGTCGTCACGGTGGCCGCCGAGGATCCGCCGGAGGCTCCCACGCCCGCGCCCCCGACTCCGAGTCCCGATTGTCCCTGTGCCAGTCCGATGCCTTGTCCGTTCTTCGCGCGCACCGAGGAGTTGTGCAGCTTGGAGAGGTCCGTGTTCGTGCTCTTGGCAGCCGTGACCTCGGAGGCCTCGTTGCCGACTAGAACGGAGCAGGGCGCCGACTGGGTCCAGTGCAGGCCGCCGAAGGTGGTCAGCAGGATCAGCAGCAGCACGCCCAAGAGGAGCGCCGCGATGGCCGCGACGCTCACCCAGGGCGAGGAGCAGCGCGCGGCCAGGTCCTTGCGGAAGTTCATCGGCGCCGAGTAGTGGTGCGCGGGCAGGCCGTTCATGACGCTGCGCGGCGGCAGCACGGGACCCATGCAGCCCTGCGTGCTCCGCTCGTAGCCCTTCAGCGTGTCCTTCGTGGGTGTGGAGCAGGCCGAGCCGCTCTTGAAGTCGATGGGAGAGCCCTTGTTGATGTCTGCAATGGAGAAGTGGGTGGAGTGGGTTAGTAATCAATTCGGGCAGTTGAGCGTGCGATTTCCCATTTAAACCCAGCTCGGACGTGGAATGGTCACCCAGCACCGTTTCCGGGGAAACCGCACAGTGGGGGAGGGGGGATGGGGTCTGTGCCGACCATCCGCACACTATTGTATTTTGCTTATCGCCATTTGGCGCAAATTTCATTTGTATAAAAGGATTTGCACAAGGATAACAAACTGACATTCAACATAACCTCAAACAAACGAGACGACAGACGGAACAAAGCTGAAAAAAGGACGAAGCGAAATGAAACGAAAAGGACGAACTGCGAATGAATGGATGAAGTAAGCAGCGCAAATGACCAGCGACAATGACGTTGGCAAAACAGGAGCAGCGGGAGAAATGGTAAAAAAGCGAGGAGAAAGCTGGGAGAAAGGGATGGGCTGCGGTGGAGTGAAGTGAAGTGAAAAAAGGCAACGCCGCAGGACGCCCAGTGCGGTGGTGACAGCTACAGGAGCGGCAGGACCAAGGGACCCAGGACAGCGCAAGTTGAAATCATTTGTTGATGCCATGATGATAATTCGATTATGTGACATGGAGCGGTCGCACGGGAGCTGTTTTGAACGGGGTTGAAGCTCAATCCCCCCCCCTGAAAGTGACTGGGAAATGGGGAGCCCAACGCAGAGAGCTTTTGTCCAACTAAGCCATATGTAGCTCGGGTTACTCAGCAATCAGCCGGGCATGAGTCGGTCAACTCTTGGCCCGCTCACTTTCGCGCAATAAAGTTTAGGCGGTCGTTTTTGGGGGATTCCGAGGGCCTGCTGGTCCAGAGCCCGGAACGCGTGTTGCTATCAACGGCAGACTCGGTTTCACATTCTGCGGCGTGCAGCCCAACTACTGGCGACATGTGGCTTAAATGTGGAAAATCATACGCTCGGCTGTGACAAACGTTTGCTTTCACGAAAATCGTCGTAATTTCTGGCCAAACGAGCCACGCCAGTCGGGAATCCCCAAGCCCACAAGAGCATAGTTGGGACGCTTTTCGGTCGAACCCCCGGTCCCCCTGTCGCTCCTGTCCTTTGACCCTGCCCTTTCGTGTGTGCCCAATGATAGCGTGAATAATGTCTGCGTCATTTTTTTACATATACACACATTTGTGGAAATGTGCGGATGACTATTAAAGATGCCCACTAAGCGTGTGCGGGATGTTAGATTTATTTAATGTCAAGATCCCTCCATATGTGAGCGGAGGAGTGGGCCGGTGGCAAGGAGATGCATAAATGTCCGGGAGGAGATCCCAAGCCGGGCGCAGAGGTTAAGCCGAGAGTTCTGGGCGAGCCCGGAGTTAGTTGCCTCGTTAAGGGGGCGTGGCAGGCGGGCGGGCAGTTTTTATGACCGAAACGTGTGGCGAAAGGGGACGGCAGGATGGCATAGTATTTGTGTGTGAATAATTAACGAACGCATAATAGCAGTCGGTAGGAGCTGGGCCAATGACTGATATAAATTCACACAAGTTAATGGGCGCTGGATGCTTTTAAAAAAGGAGGCTCCGGCTCCCCAGGAAGTGTTCGCCGGCTGATGAGATGAAAGTGCTGCGGGGTCATTAAACGTAATGGCAGACTCGACAAAGTATGCCACGATAGATGGCCTCCACCGCCCACTCGGGTCAATTTATCGGCGGAATAGATCACAAATATGTCTGCTTTAGCTCGTATCTCTTCAAAACGACCCAATCGCCAATCTGCCGGATCTCTCACCCTCGCGGCTTGATTGCAGCAGTCGAATAAGCCCAATGAACTCTTCGGTGTGATTGGCTCTATCCCTTTGAGAACGTTCGAGTTGTCGGGCTTGAAAACTGGCAGCTCCTTCTCGGCCCGCTGCTTTAATGTTTAATGCGTTGAAGCACAACACTTCGGTTTATTAATTTCATTCCATTTTATTACATTGACATTCTATGCAAAATGGGGATTAAGCCTGCGGCCGTTTTATGAACCCGAGAGTAAATCGCTTAAATTAAAACAGCACAGCCGCCAGCGAGCGTGGTGGTGGGATTGGCGATATTTTAGCAGCGTCGAAACAATAAAAATATAAATAGTGTGGCAGGCGCAGCTGGCAGTAATGGCGAGGGTATAATGTGTCGCTGCGTCCTTCTGTGGGTGTCAACCCCCCTGGGCCACAAACGGCAACAAGCTGGCGCCACCACCCCACCAGCCCGCAACTCCAATGCAACACAACTGTGATTTATGCTGCGTGCAATTTAACATTTTTAATAATATTAAAATTACAAATTTATACACATCCACTTGTGTGTGCGCTCCAAGGTGTCGTAGTCCAATAAACTGCCTAAGTTGGGGCGAAAGCGGGCCAAAAGGCTCTGCGGTGAGTGGGCGAGTGCCTGGCTTGATTTCATTTTAATTGGCTTTCCAGGCGGCTGCATTTCGCCCTACTGGCCCTCCTCTTCAGTCTCGCTAAACTGGAAGATGGAAACAGGGCGATCATTGACTCGACTGTGAGATGCCCTGTTACCAAATATGTTAATGATGGCATAGCACCAGCATAGGTACAGGTAAACCCTATTATACTTAAAGATATACCCTCTTCTTGTACTTCTTTTGCGTCCAAAGATCCAGACTCTATCACTTTAAACAATCCCGAGAGGCTTTAGGGTATTTTAAGTGTGTGAAATCCTTCCCCATGTAATTAAAAATTATTTCAAGTGTGCAAATTTCGCAAAGTTAGCAGACCGAGGAATCAGGCGTATGGTGAACTCATGAACTCGGCCCCCGAAGAGAAAATCCAATTGAGATTCAATACGTAGTGCCTTTTTCGGGTGCTTTGGTTCAACTCCCATCCCTGGGGCCCACGCAACAATTGTGTGTTAAGTACTTTTTGAGTAATTGCCTTTTCGGAGTCCAGTCGACTTGCTCGGTCCTGGCTACAACCAATTTGCATAGCCGTTAATGAACATTTGCTAATATTTTGAGCACTAAAAAACATCGCCATTAAGTGGAAGGTGCCACGCCCCCTCTGCCGGGCCGCCCCCGTGCTGGGGCGCCAAAGCGTGCGACAATCAAATAAAAGTACATGAAAAACACATAAAGGCACATAAAGGGGTATCCAGAGCCAGGGCTTCGGATTTTTTGTTATTCCCCGCATTTTAATGGTAAAGCGCGACGATTGCTTGAAACAAGCAGGTGAGCGGGGAGCGGAAGCGGGGCTCCCGCCATGTTGGTAATGGAGTTTGCAAACAAACATGGCCGCCGGGGAAAAATCACATAATTTACACGTTTGCATTTAAGTATTAAGTGGGCTGGGAGGGTGGCAAGTGGAGGCCGGCGGAAGGGAAAGGGCGGCAAGTGTTTCGTTTACTTTCACCGCGTTTGTTTGCGGGCCTCGGCAGTTGTCCCGCTATGTGTGTGTATGGGTATTTTAGGCTGTTCCCTGCCCCGACTGGGTTTTATGTGCACAGGAAGCAATTTTTGGGTCGACTTTATTGCCCCTGTCGTCGTCATCGGTGTTGATGTTGATTTTAAAGCGTTTAATGGCCTCGCGTTTCGGGGAGTCCTCGGCTAAATTGAAAAGAAAACCCCCAAACGGGTTCCGGACGAGCGAAAGATGAAGATTCAGCAACGGGAAGAAGATCTTGGTTTATATGTTTGAACAAAGTGTTGGGATTTCCAGAGATTCCAGAGATTTGCCTTGGAATTTGATGGGGTTGCTGCTGGGGCTGGCGGCTTGATTGAGCCCCTTTTTGAGCCCCTTAAAGACATGCTGCACAGGGGTTATGATGGATTGACAATGGCCCCAAAGGCCGGGAGCGTTGGGGTGGAAATGTAGGACACGAAGGGTTGGGATGGCATGGCCCTGTACCAGTAGGTGTAGTGCCAACAGTCGTATACCCTGTTCATCTAATCCCGTATTCATGGGCCGGTTAAAATGCTAGTTATAATGTAGAAATATATAGATAGGATCCCGCTCAAGCCGCTCCGTTCGTAATTACAGCCGTAAGTGGGCACAAATTGCGATACTCCGAATGGCTTTTCCGCCTTGTCCTTTGTTGTTCGGCTGCTTATAATCAAAAATTCCATTTAAAACTTTAAACTCATTACTGCATGTTTAATGGGCGCTCGTTTCCCGCTCGCCCTGCTGTTGTTATTTTTATTGTTGCCGCCGCTGCTCTTGTGCGATAAATCAACACAAAAAATTGTGCAATTTGTTAGGCGCGCAAAGACAGAAAGACAGACAGACAAGGACAATAAAGGACTGGGTTCTCTAACGATGCGGCAACCTGTCGACGTCCGTGAGGAGACCCCAAAAGGGTCGTAGTCCTCGGCGCCATATTGTTTCAAGCAGGCGGCGCACAGCGGGCGACCTGAGCTCCGCCTCGAGCTCTAATCAAGTGTGTGCGGATGGGTGAGTAGTCGCGGATCCGGATTGGCATTCGCATTCCGGCTCTGGGTTCTGGGTTCCGGCTTCCGACCTTCCAGGCCATTCGATGGGCCTGGGCTTAAAGGCAGAGCCAAGATGAGTGTCACTCGGGTGGGGGAGCAAACTTTCGGCACGATTTGCATGTAAATTAATTGCCCTCGCCGTGTGCCCGTGGCCCGTAGCCATGCAGCGGGATTTTTTCCTGCTTAAGCAACCCTCGGGGCGAGATAAGTCGTATAAATTATAGCAATTTAATAAGTTTTAAATATACGCATCCGGCTGACTCGGTCTCTCTTTGTCTGTCTCCCGAAAAGTTGGTAAAATCTTGCAGAAAAGTTTACGGCGCTCCACTCCCAGACTCCCTGACTCCCGGACTCACGCCCTCCGAACTCCAAACTCGAAACTCCGCAATCCAGAATCGAGAATACCGAATCCAGACTCCTGACTACAGGTTGCCCCGGCTCCGTTCCGCTCCTGGTGCTATAACTCAAGACAAAAACTGTTGCCGATTAAAATTGTCGGTTGGGCATTAATTTTATGTCACGATGCGCTCGCAGCCGACGTGCTGTG